TATATATATATAGATAGATAGATAGATAGATAGATAGATAGATAGATAGATAGATAGATAGATAGATAGATAGATATCTTTATATATTTAGCTCAGCCTGTTTTTTTTTTTTTTTCCAGCTGGAAGGCCTTCTGAGCTATATTAATGGTCTTCATACAGCTAGATACTGCTACCACTATGCTTCATGCTGGACAAAGACCTTATTTTATACAGAAAAAATGCATTAATACTCTATATTAATTACGTGACCATTATAAAGGTAAAAGTGTAAAGGGCAAAATACAGATGCATGCCACACCATACAGTTTTTTTCCCTAAGCTAGTACTTTCCCTCCACCTCATAAAATGTCATTTCTTAGTGTTGGCGTTTTACAACAACACCTAATCAGTATATCCTCATGTTTAATACCAAATGAAAAAGGTCAAAGTATTTTAATTGGTAGAAGTTGGGTATAGACTATAGAGCAATATTTTTCAGCAGACAGCAGCTACAGCTACTACCCGACTCATTGCCTCAGTCTTTTCCATCTTGTTTTTTTTTTTTTTTTTCTGTACCCATCCATCCCTCTTCTCCTGCTTAGTCCTTGTCATGGTTGCAGTGGGCTTCTATGGATGTCTATGCCACAGGGCAACACAGAGACACACAACCAAGCACACCACACTCACAACTAATGACAATTTAGAGAAACCAATTAACCTAACAATCATGTTTTTGGACAGTGGGAGGAAGCAGAAGTACCCGGAGAGAACCCACACATGCACGGGGAGAACATGCAAACTCCATGCAGAAAAACCCAATGGCAGGGATCAAACCCAGAACCTTCTTGCTGCAAGGCAACAGTGCTACCCACTTCAACACTGTGCAGTTTACCCATCCTTATCACTCAATTAAAAATATATGATTGGTCATAAAATGAAGACAAACTGGAATCCAAACAGGTTACTTTCAAAACAGAGAATACATCTTTCCTATGTTATTCCAGTAATGAAAGCTTTTTTAGATTTAATACCACCTGGAAACCTTAGGTCACTTAAAAGTGTAGATTCCCTATTTTTCACATTAAGGATGATAAATGTCTTAACTGGGTTAAAAAGCCATCTAATAACATTTTCCATGTTTTATCAGTCACCTTTCATCCTATCATTTGTTATTTTAGTCATTTAGATAGTTAAAAACATGGTCAGCATAAAGTTAGTCATGCATTGCTTTGTAAGCTCCATTCACTCATTTCAACCTAGTGACGCTGATTCCTCCCTTTTTCTTGCACTTCCTGAGTAGTCAAAGCTGTAAAAAAAAAAAACACAACAAAAACAAAACCAAACCATCTGTTAATTAATAATAAGAAGTTGGGAGGGCAGAGTATATTTCCCTGCAGTGTGTTTTACAGCTCAGCATTTGACAGCTCGGTTTGGGAGGACACACAATAAGTAAGCCATTAGCTCTTTCCTTGAATTAAAACATTTTTTTCAGTTAAAAAGTTTTTTTTTTGTTTGTTTTGTTTTTTGGTGGCACATGATAAGACCTTAGGACTCTGTGGGCTTTATTTTGAAACTACTTTATCTCACAGAGTACACTTAGGCTTAACCTAAAAAAAGCATTCCTGCTTGTTTAAAGTTGAAGCGGCTTTTCCCACAGGCTGCCAGTTAGCAGTAAGCAATGTTTCTGTTTTTTAGTGGAAGAGAACGGCGTCAGGCTCAAAAGTCTAAGGCAAAACCATGGGAATGGTATTGACAACCAGGCTTTTGAATTTGGGGTATGTATTTATTTCAATTTATAAGTCAAAAACAAAACTAGAAAGCTTTTGTTTTCATGAAATGCCTTTAATTTTGCCAGGTGGAAAGCACTGCTGATTCTGACAGCATCAAAAATCAGCCAGTAGAGTCTAAAAAAAAAAAGGGTTCATATCTCAGGTTGGTCAGATTTTTTCATTTCTACTTATGTGAGTGGAATTTATTATATAGTACAACATCTGTGGTAGTCTGCACTAATATTCTGATTTTAAAAATGAAACTGAAGGGTTAACTGTAATAATACTGTTAAAGTAAAGAAGCAAATGTTACAATGAATTTCACTTTGGTTCCTTATTCTTTCAGTAAGGTTTCCAAGCCATTTAATGCTACAGAGCGTTATATCAAAGACCACTCAACAATCTTAAAGTACATCGTGCTTGGCATTATCGGAGCAGGTAAGATACCAACTCTTTTATTAAGCAGAAATCTGTCCAGTAACGCAGTGTGGTTCATGGATCACTGGTGGTACTTGGGTTGTCTTTAGTAGTACTGGTATTAATTTTTTGCAGGGTAAATACAAACAATAGTGATGTAGAGTTAATAAAAACATTTGAAAATATGGTTCGTTGAGTCATACTTATAGTTCTATTATAGGTTTGTTATAAAAGAAGGGAGGATTTAAAGAGACAGACACATGGATTCCAGCTGTGAAAGTCAGAGGTTGTTCACCAGCTCAGTGTGTGACTGTTTATGTGAATGGGTGAATGACTGAATATGGTGTAAAGTGCTTTGGAGTCCCCTGACTTGAAAATATCTTACATAAATAGAAGCCATTTATCATTTACCATTTAGCCCTAAAGCTATGGTCATTTAGGCATACTGAAAGCCTTAGCTATTAAAAATTTTTAACCATTCAGATTTTTGAATTTTTCATTAAAGTACTTTTACACATAGTACTGTAAAACATATATTTCTAATCACTTTATTGTATTTGTGGAGATCAAGCTTTTCAGACAGTGGCTTTTATTATCTAACACATTTCCATTCTCTCTCTGCTTTACAGTTTTTACTGACTCTTAAAAAAAAAACACCTCAGGATGTACTCGTTTAGACAGCCTTTTACTTACTAGTATCTTTTATTGTTTGTTTTATTCTTGAGAAGCACTTGTTGATTTTTATCTGTGAATCATTCCATATAAATAACATTACTCAGTTACAAAGAATAGAGGTAAATAAGTGTTTGTGTCTTGTATTGCTAACAGTCGGTTAGGTCCTGTACCTTTATTCTCATTGATTGTATTTTCTGAAACAAAGAAAGAATGCCCCCTGATGTCAGAAGTGTAAGGGAAAGTTTAGCAGTCCTGAATTAAGTGTTAAAATGGGTGCTACACCTATAAAATGTGCAAAAGTTAAAAAGATATAATATTAATGTTAACTTTTAATGTTTTTTGTTATTTTAATCCAGTGTCTCACACACACAGTGCTGCGAATATGCCCCTTTAGTGTCAAAATACATCCACACCATTCATCCTATGCTGCTTATAAGTCGGGGTCACGGCGGGTCACAGGTTGCCAGTCCACCATAGGGTAACACACACAGTATTACCATGAAAACATACATAGAGTATGTAATGGTAATCAAGATAAACCAGAAAACCTAATAATCATGGTTTTGGACTGTCGGAGGAAGTCAGAGTACCCAGACAGAACCCATGCATGCAAAGGGAGAACCTGCAGGCTCCAGGCCGGAAATCAAACCTGCTAAAGCATGAATATCGTCTGTTTGCTTTTCTGTGAATTTTAAAACTTACAGCATAACTGTAATGTACCCATCAACCATTCTTGTGGTGCTACAGGGAGAGGAAGACTTCCTTCTTGTTGTAGTTGTAGCTAAATCGTTGTAAAAAACGTTGGTTTATATTTTTAAATCTCCCTCATTTTGGAGGCACTTTTTATTACTCGCGTGGCTCTTATATTTAAAGGTTTGGGAACTAATGCAGTAAGACATTATACTGATGCTTACATGCATAATTCATTACTAACGAGCGTCTGAATCTCTACCCTCCTCTGCAGGATATGTGGCATACTTCATTGCTGCCTGTGTACTGGATTTCCATAGGGCCACTGCTCTCGTGGTCCTTACTTGTTTGGCAGTTGCTGCCGTGTTGTACGAGATGGTGAAGAAGCATAAGGGGAAAAGCATCAGTCGGTCTTTCAAACCCGCAGTTCGATGCTTCAAATCCAACCTGAAATGGCTAAAATGGTGAATGGTTTTAATTTGTTTTATTCCACTATTCCCTGGTTAATAACAGCCCCCCTCCCACTAAAGTATAGCACATGCTGTATAGCTAATGCATATTGTTCTCTTTTGTGTTAGGGTCTTCATCCTAGCAGTCCTGGCCCTGCTTGTGGTGTGGCTTGTTTTAGACACACGGAAACGTCCTGAGCAGCTTATCTCATTCGGAGGTGTGTGCATGTTTATCGTGCTTTTATTCCTCTTCTCAGCTCACAGGTCAATGGTGAGTTTAACACTAAGGCACGCACCAGCTCTAATCATAGATGAATAATCCTTTACAGCTGTTTTGAAACATGCTCAGCTTCTATCAGTCACATTTTCTACCTCGCAGAGACTTTAGATATAACCCGGCCTTGTTGCTCTTGTCATCTAGTGATTTAGCGATGTTCCTCCCTGTTGGAAATGAACGGATGCTACCCAATAAAGTGATAAAGATAACCATTTTCTTTTTATAGATCAAATGGAGGCCAGTTTTTTGGGGTCTTGGAATCCAGTTCTGCATTGGACTGTTTGTTATAAGAACACAACCAGGTTTAGTAGCCTTTGACTGGCTTGGAAAACAAGTGCAGGTATTCCTCCAGTTTATTGGATAAAATCACTTAGTCAATTATTGGTAATATTTTGGCGATGATAAAGAATTTTTGTTTGGAATTGACAAACAAGCTTAACTTTTCGATTAATGTGAAAAAATAACTTTTTATATTTATTAGAAATATAAACATATTTTACCTGAATTAATACAATTATTAATTTGTCTAATGTTTTCTATTCTATCCTATTTTATTTTTTCCCAAAACACTTTAAAAACTTGATTCTGCCAACTGCTTGCTTTCTATGTGTGATGTTAAGTCATAGCAATGTAATGTTTAACTAAATAGATCAGACGCTTATCTTTAACAGCTTTATTGTGCATCCAAGGCCTGAGCCAGCAGAATGTGTGCACATATACAGGCCTCCTAATTATATTTTAAAGTGCTGTTCAACTGCTCCTATCTAAAATGCTATAAATTAGGCAGTAAAACTGAATGAGTACTTGTGATTTTTATTTATGTATGTACATTAACCCCCAACCTTTTTTTTCTCCTCTGTACACTATGATGATAGATATTCCTTGATTACACCAAAGAAGGATCAGGGTTTGTTTTCGGTGACCTGATTAACGACATTTTTGCCTTTCAAGTGAGTGCGTGGTTTAATTAGACAACATTAGCACTTCAATTATCTTTATCAAGATGCTGAATGTACTTACTTTCATTTTTACTGCTTTCCTGTCAGGCTTTGCCCATCGTTGTGTTTTTCAGCAGCGTTATGTCTGTCCTTTACTTTCTGGGAGCGATGCAGTGGCTAATTTTAAAGGTAAATGTCTCATAAAGTTTTTTTTACACATTCCCGTAAGTGTGGGTGTGTATTTAACACAAGTACTGCATTAACTATTACCTGGACCCTTGTGTTTTTGTCCATGCAGATCTCATGGCTTATGCAGATAACACTCGGGACCTCGCCCACTGAGACATTAAGCGTGGCAGGGAACATATTTGTTGGCCAGGTAATCTTGATCCTTTGGCTTTAAGGAAATCTTCATGACTTGGCATAGAAATGATTAATGGCAGTAACATTAGAAAAGTCTTTAACTGTTTGTTCTGTGTTTGCATTAGACTGAAGCTCCGCTACTTATTCGCCCCTATTTGAAGGATATGACCAAATCAGAGATCCATGCTGTTATGACTGGTGGATTTGCAACCATAGCAGGCAGCGTCATGGGAGCGTTCATCTCATTTGGGGTTAGAAAAATATTTTTTGCACACCAGCATATTAGGGAAACTGACAGGTACTGTATTAAAATATTTTTATGTCGCCTACACATGTCGTCACTACAGAGACCTCTCTTTATTCAGCCATATTTAAAATGTTTTTTCTGTAAAACAGGATGAAAGGGAAAAACATAAAGTAGGAATAGAATGAACAAACATGTTAAACTGAAAAACTGATCAAAAGAAGATTAATATAATCAAATTTAAACGAAATTAAATCACCACGTGGACAAAAGGTGGAGTTGCTCAACACACAATATCACTAATGTGTTATCAGTGCCCATTCAAAGCTTGTTGTTATGAATATCATTATGATAAAACAAATATTTTTAGTGATTAAAAAACAAAGTTTGCTCTACAGGTTTAAACTAATTGTGGATTTTCAGTAAACCTCACTGGAGGCAAATTGGTTCAAATATACACGTTATTTTAGCAAGTTACAGAAAAACCACATGGTTTTTATTGTTCTCAAAAATGGCCCAGCATAATCCTCGTAAAATATCTAACAAGTCATAAAAATGGTGGTGCTTATCTGTTTTGCTTTTAATTGGAAGAGATAGAGCTTTTCAGGTTCTGATTAAAAGCTCAGTGATAACCTCCTTTATTTATCCCAAAACTAGTTTTGATGTGTTAATTCTTTTTCTGCTAGAACAACAAGCTTCATCCAGCTGCCTTTTTTTTTTAATGTAAAGTCCTGCAGGACGAAATGTACTTCTTTTTTTCCATGTAATGTGTTCCATGCATCAATACCACTGCAGTGCGGCACACCATTAGCATGTCCCTGGCAGCTGCAGCTCTTCTCATTGGTTGGAACACCTTAGTCAGCTCCCTCAACTGTTCACCTTAGTGGCCAAGTTGCTTCGTGTTTTTTCTCCATCTAGATTTTTTTTTTTTTAACCACAAAAAATTTGATTCTTTTTGTGGTCAACTGCAAATGTTAGTGGGACCTTGAAGCTGTCTGTTTGCAGAGCTGGGGCTTCTCTCTCTTCGAGTAAACATCCTTTCATTTCCTCATTAATGTTAAACTTACTTTTCCATGGACAGTAGCATGGTTGTTTAAGCTCTTTTTACTTTATGCTAATTTAGAGTGTTGGTTGTTGCCTTTTTCTCCAAAATATCCTAATCAGTTGATACATTTTTGGTGACATGAATAAAAATCAGGCACCGTTTAGGACTTCTAATATAATACAATACAATACAATACAATACAATACAATACAATACAATACAATACAATACAATACAATACAATATAATATAATATAATATAATATAATATAATATAATATAATAATAATAATAATAATAATAATAATAATAATAATAATAATAGAATAGAATAGAATAGAAAAGAAAATCCATTTATTTCCACACAATGGGGAAACGCTTGTGTTTACAGCAGCAAAAATACAATTTTTCCAAAAAAAGAAATCAACATTAGTTTGACAATTTATAAAGTAAATTTACAATAGGGTTCAAGCTGAGCTTGAGCCCCATACAAAATTGGTTGGATTAAAGATCGGTACTAGATCAGTATCGAGGCATTAATGAGTTTAAATGTTCTGTGTTTAATTTTTGAAAATACTAGTTGTCAACATTTAAGCCAAATTTATGTCAGAACCTTGTTCATGGTTAAAAAGAGTGAGGTTTATCTGCAACATATTAATGGACACTTATCCAACTATCAGTGAGGAAGTATGTATATATTTGAGCTTGTATGTATACATTTATAAAGAGTTGAATAAATAAAAAAATAGCTCCAAATTCTTGTTCTCCGTTAATTTAAGAGTTTTGGCATAATTTAACAGAAAAAAGTAGTTAAAAAATAAGTTAATTGCATGGTTTAAACACATTATATAAAGTTTCTAAAATGACTCAATCCATGTGTTCCTATTTGTTCTTGGGAGGTGTAGCTGACTATTAAAAAGCATAGATACAAACTAACTTGAAAAGATTGTAATAAGATTTAGTAGGTACAAAAAAGCTTACAAAAAGGTGTACCAATCACAGGACAAAACTTTCATGAAGCATAAAAGAATATTCCTGTGCTGCACAAAATGTTCTCTCCTCTCCAGTGGAGTTAAAGATAAGCCATAGCTGAAACTAACAAGCTTGTGCTGCAAAATATCAAAGAGTTTGTAAGGAGTTTGTAATCTGGATGAATAATTCTGAAACAGTTTTAATGATGTGTTCAATTTTTTATATGCTCAGGTTTTCTGAGACATAGTGAGAACAGATATGAGATTTCAAGTCAACATTTAAGAAAATCAGCGATCACATCTGAACCAAAAAGTGTTATTTGGAGGAGGAGTAGGTCTAATGTTGTATTATTTAACATGTTAAGACAGCTAAAAATGAGTTACATGGAAAAAAGATGTTACTTAATGTGGAATATGCAAAATAATCTGAATTGAGAACCTTAATAATTAGCTGAAAGTTATTTGCAAGTCAAATTTTACCCGGACAAGCGTGTGAATTTCGTCTCTTACAGATTGATGCATCTTCCTTGATATCAGCCTCTGTGATGGCTGCTCCCTGTGCTTTGGCCATATCTAAGCTGTCTTATCCTGAGACAGAAGAGAGTCACTTTAATTCAGATGAGAAGATCAAAGTGGCTGCTGGGTGAGTTTGCTCAGTCAAAATATTCTCCAGGACTGTATTTACCCAAATCTTAAAGGCACACTATGCAACATTTTTCAGTTAATTAATGTGTTGCATAACGTTTTGGATGATTAAATGAGTCATTTCAGGTCGAACAAAGGTTTTCTCGGCCGCCCTGGTGGTCTGTAGGGGAAATACCGTACTTGCATTTGCAGGAGTCCTCGGCCCGCACCCACAGGCTCAGAAGTCTCGTGCATCGCGAGAGTCAGTCTTGCTTTACGGTAGAGAACTGCTACACGCCCCCAGTGAAAGGCATGCTCGTTGCTAGCGCAGTGGCGATATTTGTGCAGTTATCATGGCGGAACCAGCAAGAAAACAGCGAACTTTTTAAACTCGAAAATTGGAACA